GAGGAAGCAAAGAAGAAAGTAGAGGATGCAAAGAAGGTTGTGGAGGCAAAGAAGGCTGTGGCATTGACGACAGCAGATTCTTTTGATATGAAGAAGCTTTTGGACTCGCTGAAGGAACTTAGCTGCAGTGAAGAGCAGGTGCAACAACTAGTTTTTGAGGAAGCACAAGAAAGGGCAACACGTGCTTTGGAGCATGCAAACTCTCTTAAGATGCAAGCAGAAGCCGCATGCCAAGCAATCACAAAGATGCAGTACATGGGCAAGCATGGCAGTGACCTCCCTGAAGAACCAAAAGAAGAAGACATCGAGGTGACTGGGAGTGATGATGAATTGAAGAAACGAAATGGCACCTTTCAGGACACAAAGCCGCTCCTTCCTGGAGTTCCTCACTTGCTCCGTACTAGCTCTGACAAGGAAAAAGATGAACTTATTGCACGTTTGTTGGAGGCGCAGCGAGGGCTTCGAGGCGAGTTAAAGAAGAAAAGACAAGAAGAAACTGCTGAAGCCGAGGCTAAGAAGGCCAGGAGGGCAGTGCGAGGCAAAGGAAGAGGCAGAGGAAAGGGCAAAGGCAGCCAAAAGGGACGTGAGGAAGAGGCAGAAGAAGCGGTGGAGCCTGAGCCTGAAACATATTCCATGGAGGAGGGCTTGTCGAAAGAAGATCAAAAAAATGCAACAAGAAAGGGAGAGGGAAGAAGCTGCGGCTCGGGAAACAAAACGACCAAGGACATTGAAGGCTGCTTCAGGAGCAACAGCACGAGAGGGTGATACTAAGCCAAAACGGGCAAGGAAAGAACCACAGCAGGAGCCAAAGAAAGACCCAAACGAAGACAAGAGCCAGCCTGCAAAAGAAGAAGGAAAGCAAGCAAAACCTTCACCAGAGACAGTCCCAGAGGATTGCACGTGTTGCTATTTTTCCTGATACTGACCAAAGAATAGTCTCGATCTCAATCAATTTAATACCTGGCCTTACCAGCTATAGTGCCACAGAGTTTACAGTTTTTTGCTTCTCCAGGAGGCAAAGGCTGAAGAAAAGAAGCAAAAAGCTCTGCGAGCTCGGGAGGCACACTGACCTGTCTTTTTATATGTTCCCTCAATCAGCTAGCTAGCTGCCTGTAAACGTTAAAATGGTAGGAGCTGAAGCGAAGGAACCGCAACCTACTGAAGGAGTGGGTTGAAAAGAATGGCCAAATCATCATTCCGGATGATGAAAACAAGACGCAGGATCCTTAAATTGATCCATCTGTCAAAAAACTAGCACCAAATAGGTAGACCTCAATCGCAGTTGTGCCACTCAGGTCCTGGACCATGCCACCCCCCTCCAGCTTGTGATGAGCAAAACCCCATCTCAATTATGGTGGTGTTTGGCCCTTGGATTGGTTCCTGACACCACAACCACACACTCAAACCCAACCCCGGCCAAGGCTGTCAGGGAGCTTCTACATCAGCGGTGTGGCACCCGACCGTGTTGCAGCGCTAAACATCGCACCTGGCTTGTTGAAGCCCGTGAAGGAGACCCCAAGTCGTCATTCCAGATTAGAAGTTTTCATCGAACAAACTCTTGCCATTGTGTGGATATATCGTGCAGTCTTTTTGGTAGGCCAACAGCGGTGGTGGCATTACCATCACATGGGGTGTTCATGGAGGGATTGGACAATCGCCATGCACTTACAAGTGATCCATCAACATATAAATCTGCAACATTTGATCCCTGAGGTTTCAGGTGGCAATGATGCTGGCTGGGTGGATCACGATCCCTAGCCCTTAGTGTGTTTTCACCAGATTTCACTTCGTTTTGGTGGGTAACTATCCTGGTCCAGGAATCCAAAAAAACAAGAAAGAACAATCGATCGATCTATAGTACACCGTGTTGCCAAGGGCCAGTGATAGCTATTTTGGGGCTTGCGCATGATAAACGTATCATGCCAGTGATGTTTCAATCAACCAGGCAATCAGGATGTCTGTGTGACCTAAACTAGATTGAGCGATCCAGGGCAAGAAAAGTCAGCAATCACTAGTCGACTTGGTCCAATAGAGGCCTGCATGCATGGAGTGTAGTGATTGTGCAGGAAATCAATTTATCTGACATGCACCAGGCTCAACCCAGCAAGATCCGGCCTTGAAAGGTGTCTTCTGATTGAAGCGATGCCTCAACAAGGCCGATGGAAGTCGGGTCCACTAGCTTTGACTGGTTGCATGGCGACCATGCTTCTTGTTCTTGGAGCACCAAAAGAAATGCTCTGGCCTCATTCAGAGATGATTGTTGCACTTCAGGGTTTTTGGTACCATGCTTCCATCATCTTCCATCTAGGTTGGATCTTTGCGATCTGGTAGCCCAATCTGCATACACACATGGTTTCTCCAGAGCAATGGGCCCAGTCTGATTGCATTAAAAAATAAGGCCAGGTGTTGGAAACTTAATGCCTGAACGGCCCAGGACTTGACCAACTATGATGTCTTTGCAGGCAACCGGGCCATTGAGGGTGCCTTCCGTATGGGACTTGGGGAAGATCTAGAAACACACTTTGCAATATATCTCGACATGTCACTCTTGAAATTCAAGTTCGATATTGATTTAGGTGCTGCTGGGTATCATGCGCCACGCCCTCACAACTGCTGGCCTTCGTTTCAATCGATCAATCTTCCATCTCAGGGAGCACTTCGATGTTGCGAATCGTGGATCTGTCAACGACCTCACGACCATGTCGGGGACTTGCTGAATTTTGCAACCAATCAACCAGCTTGGACCCAACCATGTTGACAGTGGAAAACGCCCAGGACCGGTCTATGTGAAGCAATCCTTGGAACCCTGCGACTAAAACCTGATGGCCTATTAAGTTTAGGACCCCCCTTGTTCGTCCTTTGTGTTCATCAATTCACATACCAGCGGACGGTCCGCCAAACGACCATATGGTCACGAGCACCGCCCCTATGTGGAATCCGCCAGCTTGAACCCCGGCTTGAATGTAGCAGCATGTACTTACATCTGACTTTGGCACCTTGGACCCATTTTTGTAAAAGTCTTGAGACCCGGGCCCAGGATTCTCAGCCGAGCACTGTGGTTAGTGATCTTGGCCACATGTCGTGGCTGCTATGTGAGCCTTGAGCAACCAGGAGGGTCTTGTATGAAGTACTTCCCTGACTTTATGAGGGTCAAGGAAAGGATCAACAGGTTCATCTTTGACGGTCTTTGGACGGAGCAGTTTATGTGCAGGGCTGAAGATATATATATATATTGCACTAAAACTATGCATGTTATATTTGTTGAGCACTCCACAAGTACTTATGTACACTTGAACCCTCGTTTGAGGTGGATGGGACATTGGGGTGCACCGACTTGCAAGCCAACGCGGCTGTTTGGTACTGCTTTTTAACCTCAGGCAAACTGGGGCACCAAGCGAGAGAGATAGAGAGAGTGGAGTCCATTTCTTCCACGGCCTGGCCCAGGCTATGGTTTCCACTCATGTACCGGAGGATGACAAAGGCTTTGCGTCAAAAGCTAGGGAAGGGAAAGCTGGTCACCATCCGGAAGAAGAAACTGGGTGGAGGTTGGACAGTGTGCGCTTCTTAAGGGCCAGTCAGTGGTTTTGAACATACGCAAGTGTCTATACACCTTTAATATCTCGAGCTCAAGATCTTTGCACTGAGTTCGGGTGGACCAGATCTCAGAGCTACACAAGTCTATCCCAAATTGTTTGGACAACGTATTTGCGAGCTTCATCAACAAACTATGGACTGGGGAGCTGTGCATTGTGTACAAAGAATCACTGTGTGCAACTATATTCTGCTGCTAAATCTTTAAAAAAATAATCAATGTATCTAGAACTGACACCTGATTGCAGGAGGGCATAAAATTCAAGATGCAGGCGAAGGTGAAGAACGCATGGATCGAGTTCAAACAGGGAAATAGAAAGGTGGTGGGAACCTTATTTCCTTCTTATCTTCATCCTGGCATTCTTCTTATCTCGGTCCAGGTTGTGCATCGTGGAGCTTGGCGTAAGGCTGGGCTGAAGGAGGTCAGACAATTCACCAAAAAGGTGAAATCTGAGCCACAGAAAAGCCATTTCTCACCTTACCAGGCCTAGCTATTTGGAGTTGTTTTCAGGAAACGGCACCCCTTTTAGGGAATCGCCTGGGAGTATATCTGTTTTTGTTGCAAATCAACCTTTTTAGTACATGCCTGGGCAATAATGATCAAGTATTGGATGATGGTTGTTGGCTTACCAGCAACTATCACAGTGAGCCAAAAAAGCGGGACCGTGAAACACCGTGAAATGAGCGTGAAATAGGCGTGAACGACCATGTTTAGCCGTGAACGACCATGTTTAGCCGTGAAATCCACACACAAGAAAATTTGAACTTTTTGTTGGTGTCCTGGTCCCGTTTAAGGCATTAATGTGCACTTTATGCACTAATTGGGTGCTTGGAGAAGCTTTTCCCATTCCAGCAGCGTGCACTGTGCACTGAAGTTGATGCTGTGACGTTGCATAAAATAAGTAGAGTGAGTGACTTAAAGCAGTTTTGGCCGATCTCAACCACCCAACTCCAACCTAGTAATACTCAAGGAGGGCATTCACTTGTCTGGAATTGCAGCATTGCATTGCATATATCAATTTGGGAATTGGATGTGTTTCTGGCATTCATTTTTTTGTGCCAACAAGCCATGGATTGCAAATTTTGACATTCCATGCAGCCATTTTTTGGTTGGTGCTGTGGGTGCCTTAGGTTGGCTAGATCAACATGGACACCAAAGATCAGCTCAAGATGTTGTTAGAGAAAGGTCGGGACCGGAGGCGTCAATTTGGTGCCACCATTCCACCTTTGGATCGCCAAATGACGAAGGCATACACAGTTGACAGTTCAGGCCGGGTATTTTATTTGCGAATTTAGTTCATGCATGGATATGTGTTCACTTCGAATCGGCAGAATTCATCAATAATTGTTGTGATCATTGATTTGAACTGACTATGTTTTATGTTCCCATTATTCACACTCTTGTTTAGGTGAGCCAAAGACAAAGAAGACCAGGAAAGAGAAGGATCTGGAGGCAGAAGATGGACAAGGTAGTACTGCTAGCACTGAGGCCGTGTCAACGACACCGACTCCCATCGACCTTGAATCAATGCCTTGCCAGCACTATGAGGGAGGATACAGCCAATGGCGGGAGGAGCCTCAATATGAAGACCAGTGGCAGTTTTGGGACTGGCCACCTGCGGACTGGCGTCCCCAAGAACACCATCGAGCATACTGGGACAAGTCCGACTACTATTACCGGTACAACCACTATGACTATGGCCAGGATTGCAGGTACAAAACACCAAACAAGCCTACCAAGCATTGGTCTTCGCCGGCTCCTACTCTGTCATCGATGTCCAGCCGAGAATCGTTCTCTGCAACAGAGGTGGTGGAAATGTCTGGTGAGATGAGTCGATGCAACACGACACAGATTGATGACTTCAATCGAAGGATTTGGAACGATGATGATGAGGCACTGGCAGCCTTAGAAGAGCAGGCAAAGGTGGCTGACAAGGATGTTGAGGAGGCAAAGAGGAATGAAGCAGCGTTACAAGCAGAAGTTGCTCGGCTTCAGCTTGACGTGGAGAAAGCGGAGAAGGACCTAAAAGCAGCTCAGGTCGAGCGGGACTCACTGTTGGGAGAACGTCATCAGCTGGTAAAAGAGAAGGCAGCCTTAGAAGAACCTCATGAGGGTGAGGAAGAAGCAAAGAAGGCAAAGAATGCAGAAGGTGCAAAGAAGGTTGAGGAGGAGCAAAACAAGGCAGCCTTAGAAGAACTTCGTCGGGCTGAGGAGGAAGCGCAAAAGAAGGAGGCAGAGGAAGCAAAGAAGGCAAAGAAGGTTGAGGAAGAGCAGAATAAGGCAGCCGTAGAATCAGAAGAACATCGTCGGGCTGAAGAGGAAGCGAAAAAAGGCAAAGGAAACTGAGGATGCAAAGAAGGTTGAGGAGGAGCAGAAGACAGCAGCCTCAGAAGAACTTCGTCGGGCTGAAGAGGAAGCAAAGAAGGCAAAGGAAGCAGAGGATGAAAAGAAGGTTGAGGAGGAGCAGAAGAAGAAAGCCTCAGAAGAACTTCGTCGGGCTGAGGAGGAAGCAAAGAAGGCAAAGGAAGCAGAGGATGCAAAGAAGGTTGAGGAGGAGCAGAAGAAGAAAGTCTCAGAAGAACTTCGTCGGGCTGAGGAGGAAGCAAAGAAGGCAAAGGAAGCAAAGGATGAAAAGCAGGTTGAGGAGGAGCAGAAGACAGCAGCCTCAGAGGAAGCGAAGAAGGCAAAGGAGGAAGACGATGCAAAGAAGGTTGAGGAGCAAAAGAACAAAGCAGCCTTAGCAGAACATCGTTTGGCTGAGGAAGCCAAGAAGGCAAAGGAGGCAGAGGAACTTCTAGCAAAAGCAAAGCAGGATCTTGAACTCGCGAAGTTGCAGGCTGCAAGAACAGAAGAGAAGGGAAATAAGGCGGTGTCAACACCAGAGGATGAGGAGCAAAAGAAACTGAAGCTGGCGAGGTTGAAAGTCTTCGAAGAAGCAAAGCTAGAGAAGGAGCAAACAGCCAAGGATGCTGAAAACCTGAGAAAAGCTCACGAAAAAAAAAGGGCATTTGCCGCCATCATTGGATGATGCCAATGCATTGAAGGACAAGGCCAAGGCAGCTGAAGAAGGAAAGGAGCAGGGCGAGAAGACAGCAGAGGAGATCGCTATGGAGAAGAAACAATTAGAGCTCAAGAAAAAAAAGGATGAAGCCCATGCCCGGTACATGAGGTATTTCCGGGCAGCTCGGAGCACCTTCCTCAGTCAGCATTTCGAGATATGTTCAGAAATATTGAAATTGAAAATACTATACCAAAAAATAGTACTTGGGAATTTATCATATATTGGCCTAGGTGTAAATGCTCCACTCGAAATCCGAAGAATGGCGAGGGAGGCTCATGGAAGCCAGGAACTTGGTACACATTTGTCTGTTGTGTTTCATTTGATGCATTTGATGCACCTCAGGCTCAGCCCTGAACAGCATCCTGTATGAGGCCTGGGGATCATGCAATGGAGAGTGGAAATCCAGCAAGTTTTACCAGAACATTGTCAATCGACACAAGAGCTCAAGGAGGGGGGACCAGGAAGTGGCTAACATGCCAACAAATGGATGACGTGTTTGGAGCCGAGTTGGGAGCGCAAATGAGAACGCGAAAGCTTCTGGATCCTTCCCTCCGGAAAACTGAAGTGCGGGAAAATCCAGAGCTTCCTGGTGTTGAGGCCAGGGATGTTGAAGTCTTTTTTTGTATGCCTGGAAGCTCCAGTCGATCTGATGTCCTGCATTCCAGGCAGCAATGCAATTCCTCACGTTGGTGGAGGACTGTGTGGAGGAGGAACAACAAGAAGAGATCACACAACTTTTCAGTTGCCTTGATGCTGACTCTTCGAGTGAAGACTCAAGTGAACAGAAAAAACCGAAAGAGAAAAAGCACAAGAAGGATGACAAAAAGAACAAGTCGAAATCGAAGTCAAAGTTGAAGGTTTCGTTTGTTTTCTTTCAATGTTTCAAATGTTGCGATTGTTTTCATGACTTTATTCATAATATTGTGAACCTTTCTCTCTGAATTGTTGTAGGCCACCAAAGCTAAAAAGGACTCTGGCAAGGGCAAGGGAGATGACAAGCCAGAGGAAAGAAACGGTGAGGACAAGCAAAAGACATTGGACAAGAGTGCCAAAAAGGCATCACATAAGATCATATATTGCATGATAATTGTTTTTTGTTTTGCTGCCAGGCCTTGACGGATGCCAGCAACAAGATCAAGTGGACCCTGGGGCTGAAGCCCAATTTGAGTGGCCTGCAAATTGCTCAGATTCAATTATCGGGCTTCATCAGTGTTGAAAACTAATTTTGGTGTTATTATGATTCAGGTCCGAGAAGTATGCAGCCAGTATCAAAGAGGACGTTGAGACCAAGCAAACGCAGTTGGAGGCACACAAACATATACGCATAACAAACAGAGTTAGGCGTTCCATTGTTTGCCATATCCAGGCAAAGCGTTCTGCCTTACAGATGGCTGTGGACAACTCTCAGGCCATAATTGGTTAGTCAAAATCCTAGGCCAAATTTGTTCCAGTACCGCCAGGTATGTCAGGATATCATCGATGAATGCAACCTGGCACGCGATGAGCTACATGCTGCGTGTGAGCCTTTGAAAGCTAAAAAGCAAAGTAGTCTTAGAAGACCATTTGGGTCTCAGGTGATCTTTCTAGAAGGCGACACTTGCCATGTCTGTGGATAAACAAGCTTGTGAAATACAACTTAACTAAATTTTGAATTTCGATGTTCACTATGACTGGGTAATATTATATGTGTTTTTCTGCATTGGCCAGTCGCTGCAGTCTGCCTGTCAGCGTGCCAACTTGCTCAATTGTAGCGGAGTTGGGGGGGTGGTACAGGTATTCATCAAAGCTTTTGGATCAGCAGATCCGGCTGTTCGAGGAAAACAATGACTAGTCTGCTGAATATTCTTCAATGTGATTGCCACGTCTCGCCAAGATTACGGTATATTGCTAATTTGTTCTCTGGAGGTGCTCGGAAACAACGTGATGGGCCAGTACATCGGGACATTGTAGAGAAGATTGCATCAGGTGTTGCTTGGCGGAATGGTTGGACTCGACTGGTGCATACAACTTTTGTGTCCAAATCCCACAAGTTGTGAGTGGTCAAGTCTCGATTGCAATGCCCATGAGGCTTGTAGTATTCGAGCTGCTGTGAAATCCGCAAGAGCCTCCTTTGAGGATTCTTAGTCGCACACATGTTTGCCAACTGATGTAACTTTAATCTTGTTTCAAGATTTGTGCACTTGTTGACAGATTGTTCTTGTGATTTCGGGTTCAAGGAAGCTGGGCCATTTGCTTCAGATTGGACAGCCAAAGTGGCGAGATTCAGTGGTCGAAATGATGCACGCGATTTCTATAGGGCAACGCCCCTACCTGTGGACCACAGGCTGAATGTGCTAGGTGTGCTTTGCAAGTTTGCTTGCGTGTCGCCAAATTCAATCATTGGTAATTTATAACGTAGTAGCTAAGGAACCAACCTTTGTCCAAATCAAAGCGAAGCAGCCAGACGACACAGTGGCTTCCATGGAATTACCAGTGCTTTTACCCCATCACATTGTAGAGCACCTCCTTGAGTGTGGCTTAGATATCAGCAGCCAACTTGTCGGTTCGTTCTGGAAACACCTAGAGCGTGTTGGAGATGAATGGGCACTATTGACCCGGCCCTTCCGCATTGCATCGGACTCTTCAGTTTGGCCGATTGCACTGTATGGTGATGAAGCATCAATGATGTTTCAAAACGCACCGAGCCACAAAATCATCGGGGTGTTCTTAAGCCTGCCACTGTTTAGGCCCAAGTGTGCAAGACTTAGCCGTTATTTACTGTTTTCCATCGAGAGCTCCAAGGTGGTGGACGTTGTTTCATCATTGTATCCAGCATTTGAGGCCATTGTCGCTAGTTGCAATTTGCTTGCCGAGCAGGGGGTGCAAGGACGAAGATTTTTAGTCTCTGAAATCAGAGGCGACCAAATGTGGATACGGAATTTGTTTCGGCACGGCTCATTGGGTATCACATGAGGTGTGCTTTAGATGCAAAGCAAGGGCAGATACTACTTCAAACCTTCGATACACAAAGTATGACTTTTCCAACGATGGATGGCATACAACTCGGCGATCTACATATCAATTCATTTTGGAGGAGTTGCAAGATCCACTTTGTTCCTCGGTCAACATGGTTGAAACTATATATGCACAAAACACATCGAATAGCAAAAAACACTATCGCCCAAAACATCGAGCTGCCTAGGCCCACTAGTTGACCTCCACTATTTCAGCATCAACTTGATCAAGGGCTGCACCCTACACATAATCAACTTGGGGCTTCTAGGAGTCTCCAACGGGTCAACTTTGCACCTTGGATAAAATTTGTATTGCAGTCGAATCAACTTCCTGGAACATTGGGGCTACATGTGACACTAAGGGGGTTCCTCTTACAAACCGGAGCTTTTGGTGGAGTGCGTGACCTTACAAGCCAAGAAGCCTACAAGACTGCCTTGGCAAATGCTTGGTCTTCGTTTTGCACTTGGAGGGCGGTTCACAAGATCTCCTCTTCGCAAAAAAGATTCAAATACCGTTTTGTCTTCAACGACGAGTATGGCATGTACATGAACTGTAAGGGTTACAACGCACGGTGTGTCTGAGTGGCTTCTGGATGCTGTTATCAAAGTCCGAAATGAGGGGGGTGGTGAATGATGAGCGACTCTACATGATGGAGGCAACATTGAAACTTAGCGGTAAAATATGATCAAGTGTACACATGCATGCACAAAATGATGCACAGTTGTTTTTTGATCATGCATCTAGATCGAATCTAGATTCAGCTACCTAGGCGGGGGATCAATCGATATTTTGGATTGACGGAGCGTGCCTCCCGACATTTGCAGCTTGGCCAAGTCAATGCCATGGCTGAGAGTGAGTTCTTGTGAGCCTGATAGCCCAGCTAGTGGGCCTTTGGCCTGTGTTTTTTGCCTGAGGACCATGGATGAGGCAACAAACATCGAACAAGCAGGTCGTGCATACATTCAGGGATATTTGATGCTGAACCACATGTCGATTCAGTGCCTGGCCTGAAAATCTCCCTAAAGGTTTGAAAATCGATGGGCATTGACCTGTGACCCTTTTGAATGGAAACATGTACAGTAGGTGTGTTCTACAAAGTTGATGCCCAACTACAAAGTTCAACTTGAGAGGTGGGGAACGAAAGCGATGACAACGACGAATGTGCGAACACCTAAAAAATCCCCTGGGAATGAGTGTCCGTTTCAATCCCCTCGGCTGACCCCTCCCTTTGATTGAAAGAATCAATTGGTTCACTGAACCGTTCAATCTTTAGCCTCACCATATTTCGTAAACAACAACTTCCGCTGAGCTCCTTCTGAGCTCGCTTTCGTGACTTGGTATGATTCTACTTTCCCTGCCCCGTTCTGAGGAAAGGAACATTGTCATGGGTGGCAATACCCAAATTACACGCACTTTGGTTTGCAAGCCTGCTTAGCTTGTACTGGCTTTGTTGGTTGAACTGGATAAAATACCCGCCATACCTGCTGGCTAGGCATTCATGCATACTCTGCAAGATACAGTGCTGAAGGGCCGCAACACGGCGGCAATGACAGAGCGAGCAATGTTCTTGCCCTGGTGATCCCGTGCGGATCAAAACACTCAGCTCAGGTTGCAACCCACGGTTTGAGCATACATTCCTGGATGAGGATCTTATGGGACAGCTGAAAGGACTCAGCTGAGTATCATTTCAAAGGGGGCCTTCTTCTCTTCAAGAAAAATCAAGAAAACCTTTGCTTGACACATCCTTCTTGTAGGGTTTGTTTGCTACAGTGATGCAGGATGGTGCAAAAGGAGTGGGCTGTAAAGAAAACAAAATCATCGTGGGCGAGAACATGGAATCCTGAAGATT